ATCAAACCCCGCCAAGGCTGCTTTGCTGAGCAAAGAATTGCTGGGCCATTCTCAAAATATCCTGACAAACCTGTCCTTTGAGTTATATAAAAAGCTTTCAAATAGACAAGGAACTTCATGTAAAGGCATAAGACATAAGTTTATAAAATAATATGAAAATAATATGAAATAATCTGAACCTACATTGCTTAGCTTTCTCTTTTTTTCTAACTATTTGAATGTTAAGTTCTTGAACATTCCTTTCTCTCTTCATCTGGTACACCACTTCTATTTCATGTCGTTACATTTTGTTTACCTTTTGTTTCCCGCTGTATCGAAAAGTTAATATTTTACATTTATTTATTTATTTTTATGGTTCAGTTAAACTTGTCACGTGTTGTTTAACGTTTGTGCAAATGTGTAAGATTTTCATTTAAAAATAAACAAAACATTTGCTGATTTTAAATCTGACTTGAAGTAATTATCTTGAATTTAAAAAATAACTGAATGAAAAACTTCAATGTTTTGTATGTCAGATTTGGTTTTGTTTTGAGAATGACCCTGTTATAAGCCACAATATTTACAGTAACTTGTGACACAACACATTTATGTTTCTCTTTCTTGAGAAATGAAACTTAACTCACTTTCGGAGCAGAGAAACAGGAATGTGCCCTGTTTAGAAACTATGGAAGCCCAGAGAGTGCATGCAGTTTTATTTTTTCTACTTTTCTACTGTTCAATCATGATCTCTAATCGCAGTTAGATTATTAAGTACAATGAAAGAATCTATCCTATATCTTATCCTAATGAAAGTATTCCTATCATTTTAAATGATCAGTATATATCTATGACAAAGGGTTCTAAAAATATTGCTTCGTATAAAAAAAGTGTTCCCATGGCTCAGTTAGCCCCGGGTTAGGGGTAATATTTAACTGTTTGCATTTCTGAAACAATATGTTGAACAGTAAAGTTGTAGCCGTCCTAAAAACAAACTAAACAGAGAGTTTGTTGGCCATTAGGGACTACAGGTGGAAAGATATATCTGATTATAATGCGATGAAAATCATTTTCTGGTTCTTATCAGGGAAGGATTTGGTGCACTTGTACACTGTCCCTATCAAATAAACTACAAAATATGTATATATGATAAACTAATCCAGTAATATCACTAGCACGGTTCTTTGTAGAATGAACTCGCACGAAGATGAAGATGAAAGTAAAAGTCTTTAATATTATCCACACAAGGTAATCCACAACAGAAAGGCTTAAGAAACACATACACATTGACGAGACCGGACAGCGAAACACTGAACTGAATACAACTTATATGGGGAGGATATTTGACAAGACACACCTGAACATAACGACACAATCAAGCGGAGACAGAAACTAGGTCAATGGAACACGAGGGATCAAATGACAACAAACACAATAGTTCATAACTGTGACAATCACATTAAAATTCCAATTTATAATTCAAATATTTAACTTAACTATGATGGGGTAAGCACAGGACCAATTCAAAGAAGCTCATATACAAGTTTGTCCCCCATTGGCTCAGATCAGAAACATCTGTTTTTGGGACGTTGTCATTGCAGTGAATTGTGGGTCGACAGTGACATTTGTTGTAAAGTCTGAGGGAAAACAAGCAAGATGAATGAGATCTGTAGCTTGTTAGACCTGTAAAGATTCATGATTCAAGATTCATGGCCACGATGCCACACCTGTACAAAGGTGTTTCCTGCCCATGCTGCTTTGCATTTCTTTTGGTTTGATATAATCCTGACCTGCCTACCATATACAGAGTTTCGGTGAGAACCAGTGAAACACAATAAGGTTGTCACAATGAATATACATGCATGTCTTTTCATCTGACTGAAATGGTGACGTGAAAGATAAGACATCACTTAAATGTATGAGTTTTTTTTGTTGTTTTTTTTCAGAATGTTTTCTTTCAAAGAAAAATAACTACATATTGTAGCTCTGGATTTGTCTGTTATACAAGTACATACATAAACATCAACAGTCATTAGGTATAACCAAAGCAACTGTGTACTTCATGTAAAGGCATAAAACATAAGTTTATAAAATAATATGAAATAATCTGAACCTACATTGTTTAGCTTTCTCTTTTTTTCTAACTATTTGAATGTTAAGTTCCTGAAAATTAATTTCTCTCTTCATCTGGTACACCACTTCTATTGCATTTAGTTACATTTTGTTTCCTTTTTGTTCCCGCTGTGTTGCAAAAGTTAATATTTTACATTTATTTATTTATTTTTATGGTTCAGTTAAACTTGTCACGTGTTATTGTTTAACGTTTGTGCAAATGTGTAAGATTTTCATTTTTAAATAAACAAAACATTTGCTGATTTTAAATCTGACTTGAAATAATTATCTTGAATTAAAAAAATAAACTTCAATGTTTTGTATGTCAGATTTTGTTTTGTTTTGAGAATGACCCTGTTATAAGCCACAATATTTACAGTAACCTGTGACACAACACATTTATGTTTCTCTTTCTTGAGAAATGATTATTGCATTTAGTTACATTTTGTTTCCTTTTTGTTCCCGCTGTGTTGCAAAAGTTAATATTTTACATTTATTTATTTTTTTTTATGGTTCAGTTAAACTTGTCACGTGTTATTGTTTAACGTTTGTGCAAATGTGTAAGATTTTCATTTAAAAATAAACAAAACATTTGCTGATTTTAAATTTGACTTGAAATAATTATCTTGAATTAAAAAAATAAACTTCAATGTTTTGTATGTCAGATTTGGTTTTGTTTTGAGAATGACCCTGTTATAAGCCACAATATTTACAGTAACTTGTGACACAACACATTTATGTTTCTCTTTCTTGAGAAATGAAACTTAACTCACTTTCGGAGCAGAGAAACAGGAATGTGCCCTGTTTAGAAACTATGGCAGCCCAGAGAGTGCATGCAGTTTTATTTATTTTTTCTACTGTTCAATCATGATCTCTAATCGCAGTTAGATTATTACTTCATAGAATGTTAGACAGACGCTAATGAATTTTTTAATGATAAACAGAGCAACTGTAAGAGACCTTCCTATGTGATCAGATGTCCTCTGGAAGATCTAGCAGTGAGAACCAGTGAAATAGTAAGACTGTCACAAGGCAATGTCTTTTCATGTGATTGTACTGGAGTGGTAAAAGATAAGAAAATGTTTAACTGCATAGGAGTTCATTTAAATTTATTTCAGCACTTTTGTTTCTTTCAAAGAAAAATAACTACATATTGTAACACTGGGTTTCTCTTTTATACAAGTACATACATAAACATCAACAGTCATTAGGTATAACAAAAGCAACTGTGTTGTATAGCTTATAGATATCAAACCAGTGGTAAGAATGTCATGCTAAGGGTTCCTCAATTCAACCAGACATACATGAATAAAAATATTCTTTCTAATCTTAAAGCAGCAGTGCATTAGACTATAGTTCTGGATTCAACAGTCATTCAAGTACAGCATTAATACTGTGAAGAGGACAGAGAGAGTGTTTAGAGGTTATCTGTGCCCTCTCTGTATTGCTATGTGGAATATTTTAAACCTATTTTGATGTTTCACTGGTTCAACACTTGGTTTGCTATGATCACAGGTTGTTTGAGGTTTAACTTGAGGTGGTTTACAATCTGATGAAAACACAGGCCTGAATAGACCTTCATCAGGTTAGGCGCCATATTGAATTGAACATGAATGAAAACAAGGCTCTGAGAGATAGACTTGGTCTTTGTAACGGCACTGTATAAAGGTCCTAGATCACATAATTTTGACAACTTTCAAACCTGATTTATGGAGTTTTTGTCTACTGAATTTTTGTTTCAACAAGACGTTGTGTCAGCTGAACAATCAATATGTTAAAGAACAGCACAATCCATTGAACACACTGTACTTCTATCCTCACAGCCTCATTTTCATTCCCAGACTTGGGTCTACTGGCTTTAAAACCTAGGAGATAAACTGGTAAACACTAACCCCCCGGTTTCACAGACAAGGCTTAAGCCTAGTCCAAGACTAAAGTGGAAGTCTGAGCTGTTTTAACTGAAAGAAACATGCACTGACTGATCTTAAAATATATCAGTGCCTTTGTTTCGTCTCAAGATGCACACCAGTAATGTTTTTTCTAAGGCATGTCAATAAAAATTACTTAAATCTTCTAATTGAACAATGGCCTAATCCTGGTTTAGTCTAAGCCCTGTCTGTGAAACCGGGCCTAAAAGAATTGGTTTCCTTATGCATAGCTCATTAACAATAACTCTCATTGCCATCAGGTATTAATGCTCATGCTCTTACAATTGAACGGAGTTTGATTTTTAAAGCTCATCTCCCATTTTATTGTTCGAAATGTTGTTGTTGATCAATGTTTAAATCAACGACCTAAATTAGGACCGTTACAAAATAAGATGGAAGATAAGCTACAACAAAATAAGCCAGAACACTACTAGCAGTAGCAATTCTATCGGTTTCTATTGTGCAGCTTCCATTTTATTTGACATAGATAAATGAGCCTGGGAATTAGGGCTTATAAAGTACATTTCTTTGAATTAATTTATGACATAAGAACAACTGGTTGAAATACATGATATATACAGTACATGTTTGAATCTAGTATGTTAAAGCCATAGGGCAAAATGTGCAGGGTTACAAGGTTAGTGGGGTTTTCCAGAGCCTCGGCTATTTTCCTGCACCTCAAAACCCTGAGCTACTCGTTCATCCTTCACTAAAATCACAGTGTATTAAATATAATGGACTCTGAAAACTGAAATTTATAGGTAATGCAGTTTTAAATATCACAAGTCTCCATTTTAAATGAAAACATACTCCATGCACTTTAATTTACATTCTAAGCAAATTTATACTGTAAATTAATCTTGATGTCAAGTCTTTGATCAGCCTGATGAATGTATTTCACAAACTCTGATACATGGAAGGACTGCAGGACAGAAAAACGAAATCAAATTCAAAACATCAGCCAAATGTTTTGTATACCTGCAGCTGCTGCGCAATTTCTTGAAAGCTAATAAATACAATACCGAAGAACCCTCGAAAAAAGACCTTCATGTTATGAGACAGAAGTAACATTTGCACGATGTAGCAAAAATTAAATCCACAAAATGTTTCAAACAGAACAAAAGATAAGCATTAGGCATGAGCAGGCAAATAACTGGTTCACAAATCCAAGATTGAAGCTAAAGACATAAACCTGTGGCAAGCGGGATACTTCTGGCAGAAGAGGGTTATTCCATATCAACTGAGTCCAAGTTGTTGAGTTCTCACGGGGGTGAAGGACAAAACAAAATGTGCTTACAGCAGATGTTATTTTCAAACCGGTCAGAGGGTCTCTTGTCAGAAGGATGTGTGTCTGTGCATCAGATAAGCATTCATACCCTACTTGAGTTGCAAAACATCTTAAGTCTGTGATGAGGCGCGAGCAAGTGAGTCATTGAGGGTTTATTTCTCCACTTGAGACTGTCACGTCACTTTCACTTTTTTATTTGTGACAATGTTTTTTTGTTGTTTTTTTGTCACTGTGATGTAGTTTCACTTATTTCCAGGCCGTGTTGTTGTAGTTGAGCTCCGAGCAGTGCATTGTCATTCTTCAGGTCTTCGATCTGTAGGGCAATGGACATCCAACATATTACCATTTGCCCAATCGGACTTGGTAAGCAAAACACCACAGATCTCATAAATTTACTATTGAGGATTTTATTCATTTTACTTAAGGATACATTAAGGCATTATTTTTTTTAAAGAATATCACACAATATCACAATTTGTCATCCATTTTTAAACTGAAACTGTAAACCTCTTGTTTACCGTTTCTGAAAAACTGAAAGGAACTTTTGACAAGGCATTTGATTACATTTTAAAAGATTAGTTTAATTATTAAAGATGAATGAATGTACTACTGTACAAATAAATAAAACAGAACCCAGAAAAACAAACAGAATTTCTTGAAAAAATAAAACGCTATTCATAAGACCCTATTGTTACATTTTTAAGTTTTAAATTATTATAATTTAACATTTTTATAAACGCAACTGATTAGACGTCCTTTTTGATTATCAAAATGTAATTAAACCAATTAAAAATGGAATCCAGAAAAATTCTAATAGAAAACAGAATTTGAAAAAAAAAGAATTTTTTTGAAATTGGAGTTCATGCAGCTCCAGTGTTGCTGCCATTAAAGCAAAAGGGGCGACAAACTACCTAAAGTAAATTTTTCTATTCAACCAGCACTTGTATTGTTATTTATATCTGCAATTAAATTTTTTTTTAATTTGAAGCATAAAGATGAATGAATGTACTACTGTACAAATAAATAAATAAAACAGAACCCAGAAAAACTGAAACAGAATTTCTTGAAAAAATAAAACGCTATTCATAAGACCCTATTGTTACATTTTTAAGTTTTAAATTATTATAATTTAACATTTTTATAAACGCAACTGATTAGACGTCCTTTTTGATTATCAAAATGTAATTAAACCAATTAAAAATGGAATCCAGAAAAATTCTAATAGAAAACAGAATTTGAAAAAAAAGAATTTTTTTGAAATTGGAGTTCATGCAGCTCCAGTGTTGCTGCCATTAAAGCAAAAGGGGCGACAAACTACCTAAAGTAAATTTTTCTATTCAACCAGCACTTGTATTGTTATTTATATCTGCAATTAAAATTTTTTTAATTTGAAGCAAAAAGGAGCATCTTAACTAGTAATCTGACTTTGAGACCCCACTGTACATTTTACATAAACAACTCCCACCAACAAAAATACCTGTTGTCTTAGTAGCTCATTGTCCACTTGTATTCGCTCCACCTCCTTGTAGCTCTCCTGCAGCCTCTGGTTAGTCTGTCGGAGTTCTCTAATGTAGTCGCAAGCTTTAGACAGGATGCCTCCTTTACTCTAATGACGACAACAAGCAGTCCATTAACATTAGCAGGTGTAAAGAGGTACAATAGGTCCAAAGAAGAAATGATCTGGTGCTATTACTTACTGCTCCCGTTTTGGTACTCTCCATATTGCAGTCTGGGATGATTTTAGACAGTGTGACAATCCAGTTGTTGATTTTGTCTCTTCTTCTCCTTTCCACTGCAGAAACACCAATAAAACCATTTAGCAATAGTCCAAACTGATCTACTTTTACTCTATACACTGAATTACTTCCAATAAGTCAATATGAAATCCAAATTGATCCCATTTACTCTCCCTGATGTACGTTCCTGATTTTAACTGTAAACAACTTATCGGTATATGCTATTTGAAAGAAAATAAATATTTGTATTTAGAATGTTTTATTAAAGCGTTACATTTCTTTTGTAACTGCACATTACAATGCAATCCATTCCTGATGGATACAATTCCAGTTCTATGTTTTCCCCTAGATTTGTAGTTTCATGTTGACTAAAAAGTAATCCAAAGGAAAAAATACTGTAATAAACGAAATATTCAGAAAATGTATGTTTATTTTTTACATCAGCTAAATTTGGGACATTGATCATGTAACTGCTTTGTACAGATGTTCTTGCTTCCACTGAAACTGTACATATTCTGAGCTCTAAGACATGCATTAGTTCACCTTCATTGTGCTGTGCTCTTCTTCTCTCGTCACGAGGTGCCCGGGGGCCATCAATTTTCCTGCGCAAGTAGAGAGAGAAGAGAAAAATAGGAGACTTATGTGAGCTTGCTCTACTGCACTATTAAAACTACCAAAACCACCAAATGAATCTGCAGGACACAACACAGCTAAAGCCTACTTGAAAACAAACATTTCTCCAGCTCGTTTACTGATATAACAACAGTTCAGTACTGAATCTACCCAAAGATGTGCTTAAATCTGGATAAACAAGTAATAAGCCTGAAACAAACATGTAACCCTTTGATTTTTCTTCATTTCGGTTTTTAGAGGCTAGAATTTATTCAACTGATGTCTTCTGAATATGAAGAAAACTCAAACACATCTGTAATATTTATACAGTATAGTTCACCCAAAATTTTTTAATTTTTTCTAAAAAAAAGAAATGTAGCATATTTGAAGAAATTTAGCATTACATCACTTGTTCACCAATGAATCCTCTGTAGTGAATGGGTGCCATCAGAATCAGAATTTAAACAGCTGATTAAAAAAAATAAAATAATAAAAAATAAAAAAATAAAAAATCACAATAATCCACAAGTAATTCACAACTCCGGTCCATCAATTAACATACTGTGAAGTGAAAAGCTGCATGTTCGTAAGAAACAAATCCATCAATACTAGTCCACATTCCATGATAACGCTTCCTCCAGTGGAAAGTCTTCACAAGACGTTAATTGATGGACTGAAGTTGTGTGGATTACTGTGATGTTTTTATCAGCTGTTTGAACTCTCATTCTGACGGCACCCATTCATTGCAGAGGATCCATTGTTGAGCAAGAGAATTAATGCTGAATTTCTCCAAATCTGTTTTGATGAAGAAACCAACTACATTTTGGATGGCATGAGGGCGAGTACATTTTCAGCAAAATTTCATTTTTGGGCGAACTATTCCTTTAAAAGCCAGCTGCTCAACAGCGGCAGCATCTAGAGAAGGACAGGCTGGCAGCTGAGAGGGGGTGGGGATGTAAAAGGTCTTCCTCACCAGTCTGATCTGCTGTGTTGAAGAATCTCACGTTCACCAAGGTCTCTGGGGATAGCAGGCAAGTGGGACACATTTTTTTTGGGTTGTTTTTCTGACTGCACTTAAACTGATTGGAAAATACTTTGCATATTTATATGTGAAATCATTGCATTTTTTAATTAATTCCACACTCAATTTGAGGCGTTTTGCAGGAAAATTCGTCAGGATTTGATCTGAAATTCCATTCTCGTTGTTCTGCAAACTGAAATTCATTAGGGGGAACGTGAAGGGATCAAATCATTATGTACATAGCACTAGGTTGAAAGGTTGGACTGGGCCGTGCAGACAGGGAAAAATGAGGGATGTTGATCCATGATCATACTTACGTAGAGTAAGTGTGTGTACGAGGGGCAATGGTCCGTGGTGTTCCAGTCTGTAAAACATCTGGTGGACTCATCATCACGTAAAACTGGCCTAGGGTAAACAAAAATGAAAATGTTAAAATAAATGTTTGAAAAACACCATTTGAAAAAATGTGCACCTGCAGCATCTGTGATTAACGCTGTACGTTTTTGGCACACTGACATACTAGAACCAACATTACTTACTACCACTGAGTGTGACCAATTACGCTTAAGCTGACAACATGGGTGGTCATTAGGCTTGCCGCGATAGACAGTGCTGATGGTGATAGTGCTGATATGGTTAAGCCGCAACACCGGTTACGTCACTTGTCCACCGCGTCACCGACCCCCACCGTCGTTTTGATTTTTTTATAGTAATAAAAATAATTTAGTTCAGTAAAAGAACAGACACTACAAATAAAAACTGAACGCGGCTGCTCAATGCAGCGTGCCGAACGACAGTCGCATCACACAGATCAGATTTAATTTCTCCAGTGAGGAGAGTGAGTCGAGCTGACTAACAAGAAGAGTGGAGTGAGACAGACAAGACGATCGCGGATGATTTAGTTTCGAAACGAGATGCAAAAGCGCCTGTTTGGCAATATTTTGGATTTTGAAAAGCCAGTTTACTTTTGCCGTTTATCTAAGGTGATTTTGGAAGTTTTTTTTTAAACATTCGTTTCTTATTTAATTGGTTCCACATTGTTTGCTGATTTTTACTTTATTTAAACTTTGTTTCATTTATTTATTTGACATTCGTTTTGCTAATAAACGTTCTACGTTTCTTATTTATTTGGTTATATATTATACATGTTTACTTATTTCCAGTTTTGTATACCTATTAAACTTTATGCAAGTAAGTTATTTGTTATTTTATATTAGGCATAGCCTGCCCTATAGCATGGTGTATTTTTATTTGTCTTGTTAATAAAAGTTCTGCGTTTTATATATAGGCTAAAGTGAGTTTGACGTTGTATTTTGTTGTTGCATTCAAGCAATTGACGCCGACCTGCCGCTAATTCGAAAGTGAAAGTAAAATGCACACGGCGCTTTTAAGCTATTTAAAAGCAAAGAAAAGAGGGAAAATTCAAACGAACAATTGTTTTACTCCGAATTGCCGCTATTTGAAAGTGAAGCACACCACTTTTACAAGCTATTTAAAAGAGAAGGAAAGCGAGGAAAAGAGGGAACACCCCGTCCCCGCGGTGATACCGGTATTACCGGTGTTGTCACATGTCGATTAACCGGTGGGAAAATTTCCTCACCGTCACAACCCTAGTGGTCATGCGTGTTAAACTGATTTGGTTTATTTTTCATAAGGTCAAAAAACGGCTTAAACAAACCAAATGACACAGATTCATAGAATTTTGCACATTACCCCAATTTCTCCCGGCATGTAAACACTTTAACCTGCATTCTGTTTGTTTATAGCATGTGTAATCTGTGACCGGAAAGCATCCTTACAGCAGATTTAAGTGTGTCCAGCCACAGTGAGTGTTTTGCGGTGGTGAGGAGGAAACATATTGCAAATTCTTAATCATTTCTGACCCAAGAAATTATAAAACATTTTTTTAAATGTTCTCATTTCGTGCAGCCATAGGACAAGTGGTACAGTCATAAAAACTGTGCATGTTTCCCACTGACATTTGAGTACTCTGTTGGTTTTAATGCTTAATTTACCATCACAACTTGTATACAATTCTTCTAAATGCTGCTTACTTGCATTGCCAGGTTATTGATTTACATGTAAACCGGTAAAATAGGTTATTTGCTCAATGTCAATGGCAAACACTGTTTTTGGACTTTGGCATGTGAAACTGACCTCCAGCCTGTGTGAGGGTCGGATCAGATGTGGCCTGCACTGAGACAGCTGTACCGTCACTGACAGTTGCTGCTGGGAAGTAGGCAAAGCGTGTCTCTCCCCCCACCGTTTCCCCCACTGGACTGCCTCCATTACTGAAAGGGTTCTGGATGACAGCCTGTAGAAAGATAGATACAGAAATATGAGAGACGTGCAGGCAAATTTGACACTGCATTCATTTATTGCTTTACTCCATGCTTTCATCCAGTCTGTTCCATACACACCTGTGCTACTGCTTGCTGTGCACTCGCAAAGGCAGCTGTGGACACTACACTGACTGCCGATCCTCCATCTCCTGCTGCTTCCAAATGGTCCTCTGTTACCTGGACCACACGATATGTCACCTGTATCAGGTCAGAACACAAAGGTGCATTTTGTAAGAATGTTTTGTATCTTTAAGTTACATAATGTAAATATGTGGAATTAAATAACAAAAATGCATTAAAGCAAACTTGAATTCCCATTTGAAACCTAGTTTCATAGTTTGACATTTCTTAATGAAACAGGATATTCAACAGTAAAGAAAAAAGCAGGATTGGACTTGATTTTATCTATCAAGAATCTTATTATAATGAACAGTTGATGTTACATACTAGAATATAAGTTAGCTAAAATAATGCCTATAGGTGAGAGCGGGGTGATTTGAGCCTGTGGGGAAGTTGAGCCACCCCTTGTTTCGAGACAACCATAAACAAGATGGTGATATGACCACACATATTTGAGGAGTTAACCATTTTACTAACCCTGTGATGGAGAGAGACCCATGGAATAATTTGTAACTACATTTAGGTTATAAAAAAAAAAAGTTTTGCTGTTCAAAAAGTGATTTTTTATTTTCAAGGACTCTTTTTGCTTTGTGTCTGAACAATCACAGACAAATTTGAAAAATATCATGCATGTGTTTGAGCTTTAGAAAGTTATAATATGAGGCTATAGTAATGTAGCATGATGTTATCTCTAAACTGCTGGATGATATAAGTTTGTTAAGATGGTAGGAGTGGGGTAATTTGAGCCAGTGGCTCACCCCTTCTTTTGATTATAAAAAGTATAATTTTACTGTAATTCTAGATTATATTTAATTAATTTTAGACCAAACATTTTTTATTTTGTTCTTTGAACTTGATTTTGTTCTGAAAATTTTAAATAGGTCGTTTATGAAAATTAGCCATTGAAGTTTTATGAAACTGTACTTCCCCGCAACATTTATAAGTGGGATGTTGAGTACTATTAGCCCAGTTCTGTAAGGTCAACTTTATTTTGTTCTGAAATGTTTACATTTTAAAAATGCCTTCAAAGTTGTGAGCTGTATCTTTAAATAAATCTTTTCAGAAGTCCATCCATCCATTCTATAATCCAAACCTTTTTGTCTCTATTAGGGTTGCCTAATAATGGAGCCTAACTCAGCGTCTTGAGCCACAGGCAAGGAAATTCCCGGCATGAATGGCCAGTCCATCACAAGCCTCACACCCAGATTTTAAGAAGTCATTTTACTGAATGTCTTCTTTTGATATAGCATGAAGTGAAAATGTTCATAAAAGCATTCTCATAAGATCCGTTACTGAGACACAGTACTCCAGGTCATGTTTTATTACAGAGTCACCCCAGTTTGAACCCTGGAAAGGTCAAAGGTCGCACTGACCTGTCCACCAGCGTTCTCTGTCCGGAACTGGTACTGAACATTGTGGTCTGCAAAGGCTGCTGCTTGCTGGACACTAGCTATGGTAACCGCTGCCTGCTCCTCCGCTCCCACCCCCTCTCCTGAGAAACGCACCACAAACAAACAGTGGTATATGGATATATGCATCACTCAGTGCATCCGCACATGCTTGTTTTTACTTACCCTCCTGCAGCTGAACAACCTCCTCGGTTTCCGGTTTCTCGTGACTGCAAAGAGAAAGAGCAAATGTTTTGGGTCATGTTACAAAACTACTCAAAGGAAACTGTGGAGATACATATCAAAATCATATAGGCTTTTGGCACATTCAAGTGATGGAAATTTGGCAGTCATTTCTGCTAAATGCTTAATTCATAACACTGGCTAAAAAAAATAATAATGTTGTTTACGCTGTGTTTCGATCCTTTAGTTCCTGAATATAATTCGCATTTATAAATAACAATCAAATTTAAATTTTTCTTTTGAAAGAGTTTTAAATTTAGATATAATTATTTTAATGAGACTAATTTTGTCATAATGCTATTATTTTTCACTCAAGAACAGCTCAGGCGGATTTCTGAAAGAATCGCGAACCGACTCATTGAAAAGATCCGAGTCAAAGAACGATTCGTTAACGAATCGGACCTAACTACTTCATTCAGTCTTGATGCAATAAATTAAAGAGGCGTTTGAACTATTTGAAAATCAATTTAAAACTCCAAATGACTGGAAAAGATGTTCTAGATATAGATCTAGATCGGCCTCCTTAACTTGGTGACCAAACGCCCCCCTTCTCATCACTAAAGACCGTTCAGTTTTTAAAGTGGTCTGCAAAATTCAAAAATACCAATAGCACCGTTTTCTCTCCATCTAATATATATATATATATAGCCAAATAAACACCACGGGATTAAATAAACAAACACTTCTGAATGCATATAAAGCCTCTGGATGAAAAGGCTGCGGTTTGGTTGCAGGTTGAAGGGAGTTTAATGCATTAAACTGCTGGAGAGCTTTTGTTCCGACAGTACTAACTTACACACGACATTTCTACTTGAAATATCAGTTAAAATGTATTTAATTTTTTAGAAAAGATCAATTTGGAAGACTATTGTTAAAAGCAAACATACACCGGCTCATATCAAAAATAGTTCTGATGTTTAAGTAAGACAAGTTTCTCAATTGCAATATATTGAAGTATACAGAAAAAGCTGTAATATCCATATTTTTAAGCTTCTTGTGTGAAGAAATTTGATAAAAGAAATGAATTATGCAACTATTAAGAAATCTATTATTGTAAAGCTTAAGGAGTGTTTTTAAAGAGTAGATATTGCTTATAATACAAAATTCATAATGCTGTTTTGGAAATGTATTTAAAAATGCTCAAATGCTTCTGTGTGTTTAAATTGAGAAACTGTAATTTTTTTTGTACATGAATATGTATACGTTATTATTTAAGTTTATATAATGTTTAATTTAAAAAAAATTTGTTAAAAGATGGGGACATTTTTATTTAGACATAGTTTAACGAGAAAACCAGTTTGATTTTTTTCCAAAAATGTATTATTGATATTTTTTATGTATTAGTTTAAGAGTTTGTTTCCTCCTATCTGTTTAATGTATATCTCACACTACATGATACATGAGAAATAAAATGATTAATGTAAGTGTAAAGAAATCTGCAATTGTGAAGTTTGAGGAATATGATTAAAAAGTAAAAAGTTTGCTTTTCTGCAAATTTATTTTTGAAACATGTATGCGCAAATGCTTTTTGTGTTTAAATTGAGTAACGTAAAAAAAGTTATTTTGATATACTAATATTAATACATGTTCATATTTAATTATCCTTTTAGCCAATTGTTGGTTTGAAGATCATTTTTATTTTATTTTAGATGTTTTATTTATATTTTTGTTTTAATTGAAGAAGTCTTTTTTATGTCCCATTTATGAATGTTTGCACATAAGCATCTGTGTGTGTAAAATTAAAATGTCTCTCCTATCTGTTTAGTGCATATCTCCTTCTTGCATAGTCACAGCGTGTGTCAGGATGTACAGCTTTATGGGCGGTGGCCTGTTCTGTGCCATTATTGGGAACATCCTGATAGTGGTTTCCACAGCGACAGACTATTGGATGCAGTATCGCCTCTCAGGCAGCTATGCCCACCAGGGCCTGTGGAGGTACTGCATGGCCAACAAATGCTACATTCAGACAGCAAGTATAGGTAAGCAAATGTCTTCATGCAAACTCCAGAAACATATTTTTTGTGTCTATAATATGTATTTTTTATTTTAAGTTAAAAGTCAGATGTAGAGTCCCTAACATCATTATACAATAAATCTGGTACCTGCATTTGAGCTTTTTAGACCATTTTTGCCTGTAGATGGCAGTGCTTTATTCTTTTTGCCATACAGAGCTCCATACTCTGGTTTGAGTTGTCTGAGCCTTGCACAGTCGTATTCTGAACAGGTGCTCCCAAAGTTGTACCCCTGGCATCTGAGATTACAGGAGCTGTACTCTGGTTCATTCAAGGTGATTCTGCAGGGACAGTTCTTCAAAGATCAAATGAGAAAAATCAGACAAACAGTGATAAGAATTGGCTGGGATGAGAGGAGAATGAACATAACCTTCCTGACTGTTGTTTTATGAACGTTTCTTGTCTCTTTCCCCAGCATACTGGAATGCCACACGGGCATTCATGATCCTATCGGGAATGGCGTGCTTTGCGGGCATCATGGCAGGCATCCTCTCATTTGCCCATTTTTCTGCCTTTGAGAGATTCAGTCGTTCCTTTGCAGCAGGAATCATGCTTTTCATCTCCAGTGAGTCACAAACATTCCCAATGAGCTGTAGAATGTGGAATTTTTGCATATTTAAATATAAATAAAAACTGTTCTCAAAGTCAAAAATATAGATGGCACTACGTTTCCTCTGTCCATTTTTAATCCATCACTTTTTTCACAACCAGCTCTGTTTGTGCTGCTGGCTATGGCGATCTACACTGGTGTAACCCTAAGCTTCCTGGGCAAGCGTTTCGGAGACTGGCGCTTCTCCTGGTCCTACATACTGGGATGGGTGGCAATGCTCATGACCTTCTTTGCAGGTGATAGAATACCTCATAGACTGCAATTTAAAGCAACTCTATGTAGTTCTGTGTATTTTTGCAACTCTGGATCCCCCTTATGTGAGTGGAATATACTGTCGTAATTACAGTGGATAGTTGTAGACGTGCATTTGGTTTTGCCGTAAAGCAATTCTCCTTTTTCTCGGAATTTCATACATGGTCACCAAACTTACGTACTCCCAGAACAGACGTTTGGAAGGATCGTGGAAAAGAAACAAGCCATTTGCCTTATTAGAAGTCAGTGTGCCATCAGAACGATTTTGAAACTGATATTTCAAGGTAGATAATGCACGTTCTGTTGCTTAAAGGATTGCATTGACTCACAGAAGTTCAAATGGTAGAACATAATAAAGGGAGTTTTTATGGAGTTTTAAAAGTAATGAAATGTTCTCGTGGTACAGAATGAAAATAATATGCCTAAGGAATAAGGATGTGGTTGAAAGGACTTTGATTGGCCTCTTGATAAAGTTGTTTCACACAAAAAAAAATCTTTTTGACAAGCACAATAAAACTATAAGTGCGCCCATTCTCATTATTAACTATATGGTGACCTACTAATGGTTAAAACAAAAAGAGCTAAGTAAATATAATCGTTTATTTTATTTTTAGTTGATACTAGAAGAAATATTCACACTTATTTAAAAGTTTATGATTTAAAAATTGTCTTTTGCAGGGATATTATACATGTGTGCCCACAGATTGTATGAATCCAGGAGAGTGGTTGGAAGTCGCTAACCTAAAGAAGATAAAACTGCAAGAAGCAAAAATACACTGACAAATTAATAGTTTAAAACAGCATTAAAGGCCTTTTTTACACATGCACATATATTTGTATAATTCTGCACAGATAAATATACCAGTCTTCACAAATGTTTATTTCACTTTTCATATTTTTTTTCAATAAAATTCCACATCTAATCATTTTCTGTGAAATTTCTCTCTTGGTATATTGTAGCATTGCAATACGTTATGACTTCACTTCACAAACACATTTTAGTAGTTCTATGTAACTGTTTTGCAATATCATTTCACTTTTAGCATTGCAGTCTCTTTGCAACTGTTCATAAGCATTTATTTCACCATGTGGTCATGAGTATCATACTTGTTATACAGTTTCACACCAGCTCAAATACATAGTCAGCAAGTGTGGCACATCCTGTGTTAAACAGTTGTAAGAAAAATGGAGTAAAAAAAAAAAGTTTTAAGCAGGGCTTACATTTTTATATATCAGGAAATGGGACACATTGTTTTATATTTTTTGTTATTCAGTTTGATCAGCGCTTAGTTTTATCATGCCAGCTCTTTCTAATATTCATTTCAGAATGTTTTTGCTTTCCCTCTTTAATTTTTATTTTATTTATTATATGAACAATTCTCTAAATCTTTTTACCAGGTAAAATTTACTTTTTTTTTTTAAGAAGGCCATACTTTCTATTACAAAACTATATAAAAACCCAACAAACCAAAACAATTCCTCCAAATGTTGTCCCAACTAGTAACAAATAATTTCATATTGAACAATATTGCTGAAATGTTAAGGGTTCATGAGTTCCCCACATGCACTGCAGCATAAATAAGGTGTGTGGTTAATGTTACATGGTTATTTTATTTGCTGTTCACTTAAACTTCTGTTCTTGTTTTGTCATTATTATTACTTGTCATGTTAAAATACTCGTGTCAACAATAGTTGAGAAAATGCATTATATCTCCTTGAATTGTAAACTTTTTTGCAATTCTTTATTTTTGAATAAGCAAACAAGTACAGCTCCTATTTATTTGTATGGGGAAAGGCTGACCTTTTCAGAGCCACAATTATATTTAAATATATTTCAAACCAAAAAATAATCTGACAATAATGGTACAGTAAATGTGCTTATTTGGCTCTTATTTGAAACTGCAGAAGATACAGTGCACGCAGCAAAGAAAAATATTCATGCTATCAATCTCATCTAAAAACTTGCTTAAAATAAGTTATCTTAAACTTTAGTTTCACACTCAGGGTCTGCAGCCTTTGAAATGGAAATACGGCTTTCTTCTCTAGTGCCTTGCTGTGAGAGACTTTGGCCTTCCTCCATAAGAGCTTTGCGAAAAATCCCAGACAAACTTTGGTTGCATTGTTGACTAAAATCCAGTCCCATGCAGAAATACAGAACCGGGTTAATGCAGCTGTTGAAATAGGCTAAGTTTGAAGTCATACTCCATCCCACTTTTACTGCCTCGTTGTCTTCATTCACCAACTTGACCAGCCCAATAAAGTGGTAGGGGGCCCAGCATAAGAAAAAGGCACAGACCAATATGACAAGAATCCGAAGAGGCCTTGATTTTCCAGAGAGCCGCGTTCTGCGTATCCCAACAGCAGCTAGTATGTAACAGATAAGGATGACCAGGAAGGGCAACAAGAATCCACAGATGAAACGAATGCAGTAGTAGATATACTTTGCTGCATTGCCATCTGCTTCTGCTGCTCCTTTCTCCTGAAAACAAAATTATAAATACACATTTACATATTTGCTATATTTTATTATATAATTAATTTCATAATAATATGCAAGGTGATTCATGCAGTAACCTCCAGCGAGCAATGGCTCAAATTGTTCTTGTGAGGAAAAACTTGTCGGTACACAAAGTACGGTGAACTAAAGATCACCGCCACAATCCAAACTCCCATTCAGACACAACCTGTCTTGGATGTTACCTTATTATTCAGTATTCTTCTCTAACTAAGTCTTGCCATGATATGTATGCAGTCATAATAATAAAGACTGTTGTTCTTAAAACACAAAACAATTGGGCTGTTAAGGTTATAAACATTTCTGCTAAATGGGCTTCCATGATTTATCATATATATAATGCGTGTGTGTTCTCATGTTTTTATAGGCCTATTCTATTGCAGATTCACATCTGGTGCAATAAAATTGTTAGACTCTAAGGGATAGTTCACCCAAAAAAGAAAATTCTGTCATTAATTACTCACCCTCATGTTGTTCCAAACCCGTAAGACCTTCATTCATCTTGGGAACACAAATTAAGATATTTTTGATGAAATCCCAGAGCTTTCTGATCCTGCATAGACAGCAATGGAACTACCACATTCAAGGCCCAGAAAGGTAAGGACATCGTTAACATAATGTGACGCACGTTCACAAGAGTACCAGGACGCATGCATGTGATGTTGCTGAAGCAGGAGCCGGCGTTCTGACGTAGAACCCTGATGCGCTGTGCCTTGTTTGCAAGCAGAGGAATGAACTCATACTGACAATTCCTGTTGGACCTGAGACTCGAACCCGCAACCTTTGGGTTACAAGTCGAACTCTATAACCATTAGGCCACGACTGCCCCTACAGTCATGTCGTAACTGTAAAAGAAAATCTGCTTAATAATTATGCACATCTGAATATAAGACATTTTTCACTTCCAGCCTTCATGAATAATTATATATCAATTATAAATTATTAAATACAAGATTAATAGTAGTTATTAAGATTGATGTCATTTGGAATTGGTAAAATGTGCTTGGAAAAAATATGATCAGAATATCATCTTGCATAATAATTATGCATGCACTGTATTTTTCCTCTTCTGCTGTCGAGGTAATGCAAGGAATGTTGTGACTGGTTGTCAAGGCAGCCAATCAGAATTTAGCAGCCTCGTCTCTGATTGGCTGGAATTATGGCATATTGTAATGCTGGGTTGTGTTGAGCAAGCGAGCCGTTGGCATTTAGAGAGCACTGACGGCAGGCATCAGGTGAGCAAGCTAGTGAAACGTTGCAGGTGCAAAAGAGAAGGTCTGCACAAATCTAAAAAATTATTTTAAATGCAAAATAGATTTTCGTGCACTCTAAATACTTTCTTCTTTGCGAGACAAACATTTTCTGCACAAAACTCAGTTCGCACACGTGCAAAGTGCACTTTTGCGTGCTCAAAATATGATCCTTCGCACGCAGAATTGTGGCAGAGATGTAATCCCATATTCAAATGAATGGGCTTTTGAATCGTTGGTTCAACCGATTCATTCAAAACGCGGATTCATTCAAAAAACTAAACACCGCTGTGTTGCTCTAAGATGCACAACAATTCTGCTGTGGCTTTATCTGTAATATTTTTGTTGACAAAACAGAGCAAAAACAGACAATATTGTGTTATATTGTATATAACACAATAATATAATTACACAATAATATAGTATATAATATATAATACCCAATAATATAATTGTATATATAATTGTGTTATATTGTAAAATATAACAATATTAACTTCTTATTTACTGAACTGTTGTGTAAAATCACATTTGGGACAAACAGCACTCATGTGATTGCTCTCGCTGCTCGTGTGATATGACCCATACTCGTAATTTGTGTTCTGCATTTAACCCATCCAAGTGCACACACACACACACAGTAGTACACCTGGACACACACACCTGGAGCAGTGGGCGCCTGGGGAGCAGTTGGGGGCTCAGTGCCTTGCTCAAGGGTCTCACCTTAGTCATGGTATTGAGGGTGGAAGAGAGCACTGGTTATTCACTCGTCATACTGACAATTCCTGTTGGACCTGAGACTCGAACCCGCAACCTTTGGGTTACAAGTCGAACTCTATAACCATTAGGCCACGACTGCCCCTACAGTCATGTCGTAACTGTAAAAGAAAATCTGCTTAATAATTATGCACATCTGAATATAAGACATTTTTCACTTCCAGCCTTCATGAATAATTATATATCAATTATAAATTATTAAATACAAGATTAATAGTAGTTATTAAGATTGATGTCATTTGGAATTGGTAAAATGTGCTTGGAAAAAAATATGATCAGAATATCAACTTGCATAATAATTATGCATGCACTGTATTTTTCCTCTTCTGCTGTCGAGGTAATGCAAGGAATGTTGTGACTGGTTGTCAAGGCAGCCAATCAGAATTTAGCAGCCTCGTCTCTGATTGGCTGGAATTATGGCATATTGTAATGCTGGGCTGATTGGCTGGAATTATGGCATATTGTAACGCTGGGTTGTGTTGAGCAAGCGAGCCGTTGGCATTTAGAGAGCACTGACGGCAGGCATCAGGTGAGCAAGCTAGTGAAACGTTGCAGGTGCAAAAGAGAAGGTCTGCACAAATCTAAAAAATTATTTTAAATGCAAAATAGATTTTCGTGCACTCTAAATACTTTCTTCTTTGCGAGACAAACATTTTCTGCACAAAACTCAGTTCGCACACGTGCAAAGTGCACTTTTGCGTGCTCAAAATATGATCCTTCGCACGCAGAATTGTGGCAGAGATGTAATCCCATATTCAAATGAATGGGCTTTTGAATCGTTGGTTCAACCGATTCATTCAAAACGCGGATTCATTCAAAAAACTAAACACCGCTGTGTTGCTCTAAGATGCACAACAATTCTGCTGTGGCTTTATCTGTAATATTTTTGTTGACAAAACAGAGCAAAAACAGACAATATTGTGTTATATTGTATATAACACAATAATATAATTACACAATAATATAGTATATAATATATAATACCCAATAATATAATTGTATATATAATTGTGTTATATTGTAAAATATAACAATATTAACTTCTTATTTACTGAACTGTTGTGTAAAATCACATTTGGGACAAACAGCACTCATGTGATTGCTCTCGCTGCTCGTGTGATATCACTTATATAAATATGAGACCAAAAAAAACTCATACAGGAGCATTTTTGCCCCAATATCTTGACTTTTAGGGCATAACTGCATTCTGTTGCATGACCATGCATCATATCAAAGTCCCTTTCTATGTATATATTCATTTATCTTCCTTTTCCTCACCATCAACATGAAGATCCAACAGTCAACGGAGCCAGCCAACTGTTGTGGAAAATTCGAAAATAATAGAATATCATTCAGTTATTCCTGGAATAAGAATCACATCATTTGTATTAGTAGCTTTGTTTTATGAAAGCGTTATAACCCTCACCTTGTATTTGATCAGCTACCTCATCTATCTATCATCTGATTAAATCGTTATAAAAAAAATGCTAACTTGACATCAAGGTAAGTGATCCAAAACACTACGTGGCGCTTTTGCTCCGTCCACTTCCGGCTTGACGCTGCTGTCCTGAGACTGCTATGACATAACATAAGGGTTCTGCAGTTTAGTGATGGGAAATTTGGCTCGGCTTCCTTAGAAGAGCTGGCTCTTACGGCTCCCAAATGGCTCTTTATTTAGTATCACTCAGAACCTTCTATTTTAGCCCAATTTAACAATTGTGAATGGTTTGTGTGTTGGTAAGCAATTTTGTATTCAGTGTTTTCATAAAAGCCTTATTTTTATGCTTTTTTTTTCATTACGAAAAAAAAATACATACTATTATTTAACATTTTAATAAAACTTTAATTAAACAATTGAACACAGAACTACAGCAAACAAATAAATAAAGGCAAAAGTCTTAAACGGGTCCCATCATGCTTTTTCAATTTTTCAACTTTAGTTAGTCTGTAATGTTGCTGTTTGAGCATAAAAAAGATCTGCAAAGTTACAAGACTCAAAGTTCACTTCAAAAGGAGATATTTTATTTAACAGAAATCGCTTTTCAAAAACTACAAGGAACGACTCGTTTGGACTACAACACATATTTTCCAGGATTTGTGATATCACAAATATCGACGAATGGGACGAGACCTGGTTGAGCTGCACTAGAGAAGGCAAGGAGAGTTATCACTATGTCTGAGACACGCTAGCTTTCCCAAGGCAGACAAACTTAGAGTGGTTACAATCATCCAGGTTTAAATCGCACTCAAATTGATTTGATTTTGACTCAATATTTACACTGAAGCGCGCAGGCGGCTATGGTAAGGGACATTTCCCGACCAGGCACTGAGTGGTGCCAATCACAACACACACTGGCCCAGCTAATCAATCACAGCACATTTCGTATTTCAGAAGGCGGGCTTTCATTTGATACAGGAACTATGCGAGCCGTTCATGCCAGACTGGGGAGAGAGGTGTTGTAATAATGTAAAATATGTGAAGAAAAATTTGTTTTTCAAACAACCTAGTATGAGAGCCTGTTCTAGTACGCCCCAAAAACAAAATCAAGACTTTGTAAAAGAGCATAATAGGACACCTTTAACAGTAAGACACTTTAGTCTTTAGTGTAGGTTGGCTTTCAGAAATATCAGATGCCTCAGCTTGGATGTGCTGATGCGATTTCTCCTCTCTGTGATTATTTGTCCTGTTTTTGAGAAGACTCTCTCTGAGGGGACCAATGTTGCAACAATGCAGTGTCTTCCTACCTTAACCAACGCGCTTGCGTTTAAATCCGGCTCCCCCGTCTCTCTCTGTCGCTCTGTGTACCTGGCCTGTACCACTACACTCGCTATCTTCAGAGCTTGTGTCCCCGTTCCTTCTTTCACATAATGGTATGATCCTAGTCTGTTTTCCCATGTGATTAGTAGAAAAAATTCATAAAAATAAGGCTTTTATGAAAACACTTTCGCCGAAAATTGCCGTTTTTAATTCAGAATAGGCCATTTGTGTGATTCAAGTAGATCAAGTAGAGTTTTTTTTTTTGAAAACTCTTACTACTTAATACTTCGTATAAACAATGCTGGACTTTGACAAAGAGGTGATTTTCAAAATGTTATAATAGTGATTTTATAATATCTAAATATAAATCCAA